AAGTTGTCTCCATTCTATGGTGTTTTATCTCTTAACTTTTCATCTTGGGGACTCTTGCAGTTAATTAATTAAGGTGAGCCTATATGCTATGCTATATCATATATGTAGCATATTTATTTGATATTAACAGAGAAAATGGTTCGGCACTACTTAAAGAGTGTATTATGCACATTATTTACTAGGAAGGCTAAATTAATTACATCTGCATACTTTTTCATAAGATTAAATTATGGAGTATTGCTTGTGTCAGTTGCCAATCGTTCCAAATAGTAGCTGTACCTATGACCATAAAGAAAGCATGAAAATGCCATTTTTTTATTAGATACTAAGACAGTGTGCTATTGCTAAAGAAAGGTATGAAACAGTATCAATTAAAAATAGTAAATGATGTCCTAGAAACTTCAATTTCTTAAACACTTCAATAGGCAACTTTTAAACACATTTCAGCGGAATTAATGTGGAACTGATCTTTTGATTAGTGTGGATGTTACTGATCTACTTGCTTTAAATGTGGTAATTAATTACTTTTTCTTGCCCGTTTCTATAGATTGTTGCAACAAATTAGGAGGAACTGGTGTTATTGAAACAAGCGATGCTTTTGATGTTTTCACTTTGCAACATTATGCAGTTAGTTTTGGCCATGAGAACGGGAGGCAATTGGAAATTAATTTGAAAGCCACTGAAACAACAAATTGTCTGCAGTGGTATCCCTCCTATATTCGGTTTGCTCATTATACTGGTAGACTTTAGAACGCTATTTTCTACAGTTAGTCAAGGTGAGAAAACTAGGAGTAATTAATATTAATTGTTCTTTATTAATCTGTAGTGGCATTTCTTTTACACTGTTATCTGTGACCAGAATATAGATTGATTTTGTGACGTATGTATAGTGTTTTAAACATCTATAGTCCACAGCATCTATGGTATGTCGTTTAACATTTACCTATTGTTTACAGTTAAAATTGACTGGCGCATCTGTGGAATTTTAATAGTTATCTACTGTCTACATTATAAATTAATGTTATGTGCATCTGTGATTACTTCACATTTATAATGTCAAATTTGGTCTCTCATGTAAACTTGACGCTTGTCGCCATTTTATAATTCAGCGTATTTACTTGGTTTTTGATGCGTGTTTTTAGGTGTGTTTAATCTCTTCCTTAATTAGTAGTGTAATTAATGTTTTTTTTACCCATTTCTGCAGATCGTTCAACAAATAAGAGGGAGTTGAAAGTTCAATTTGGTCGTACTAAAACAACCATTGTCTACATGGGTGTGGTCTTTGGTGAACTATATTCTTGATTTGCTGTTTTCGTCTTCACTCTACATTATTATGCAGTTAGTTTTGAACTGATGAGTGGGAGCAACTGGATATTTATTTGAAATCCACTGAAATAACAAATTTTCTGCATTTGCATTTCACACCTGCAAACTTTGGAACATTACAGTCTACAGTTAATTAAGGTGAGAATACTTGATATAATTAATTTTAATTGCTCTTTATTAATCTGTTACCACCGTATCTGTTTCAGGTCGACGTTGGAGAAGACAAAGATGACCCCGTAGTTAAAATAGTTCTCTATCTTGCATGCTCTATCTAGTAGAATTCATTAAGTTCATTTTATTCAAATTAATTTTTTATTTTGCATGAATATTTTTGTTCATTTTATTTGAAGTAATTGTTGATTGTAGATGTTTTT